CACGGGGTGACGTCACACAGGACTCGGGCCTGGCACACAGGGAGGTCACGGGGTGACGTCACACAGGACTCGGGCCTGGCACACAGGGAGGTCACTGGGTGACGTCACAGGACTCAGGCCTGGCACACGAGTCACAGCAGTGACGTCACACACAGATACTCAGGAGACACCCATGCAGACCTAGCTGGGAGGGCGTCCCCGAGGGTCTCTGCAGAAGGGATAGCTGAACTCCAGCCCTGAGGACATCCACAGAGAAAGTAGAGATCTGGGTCCCAGAGGAAATCTGCAGCTGCCTGGACGCTCCGGCTCCCTGAGGGTGGTAGAGTCTCCCAGCTTCCTCACTGAGAGAGCCACGGAGCAGCCAGACAGACTCAGGATGTGATGGAAAATGACTTTAACGGAAAGAACTCACCTTTCCCGACAGCCACACTTAGCCTTTCTTGCTGCTGACTCCCCTCCCCCTCCTGCCCCTGAACAAATGCACCAGCAGTGTTGAATGAGAGCTGGGACCAAGGCCGCAGCTGGCACTGATGCCTCCGGCCTGAGACACGGGCTATGGAGAGCTTGAAACTCCTCAGTCAAAATAACAGTGTTTGCCGGGCCCTGGTGGCTCACGCCTGTCATCCTAGCTACTCAGGAGGCTGAGATCTGAGGATTATGGTTCGAAGCCAGCCAAGGTAGAAAAGTCCCAGAGAGACTCTTATCTCTTAATTACTGGAAGGAGAGCTGTCACTCAAAGTGGTAGAGCACTAGTCTTGAGCAAAAGAGCTCAGTGCCAGGCGCTGGTAGCTCATGCCAGTCATCCTAGCTACTCAGGAGGCTGAGACCTGAGGATCGAGGCTCAAAGCCAGCCCCAGCAGGAAAGTCCGTGAAACTTTTCTCTCCAATAAACCAGAAAACCGGAAGTGGCGCTGTAGCTCAAGTGGTAGAGCGCTCGCCTTGAGCTGAAGAGCTGAGGGACAGTGCCAGGTCCTGAGCTCAAGCCCCATGACCGACCCCCCCCCCAAAAAAAGCTCAGGGACAGTGCCCAGGCTCTGAGTTCTAGCTCCACAACTGACATAAATAAGTAAGTACATAATATTGCTTACTCCATCTCCATGTTGGCCTGACGTCGCTTTTTCTGCCTAATTTTTAAGGAGACCCTGGCTGTAGGGGGCATTTCCCTTCAGCATGGCTGAAGGACTTGGACTACAGGGCAGAAGCGGGCTTCACCCCTGGGTGGCATCTCCCAGAGCCTGGCTGCCACGTAAGCAGGCTAAGCTTTGGGCTAGGCTTATAATGATTGGACTGGTAACCTTCCTTCTGCTACCTGAGGATCTCGACCTCCGGCCAAGGCCGTTGGCTGTTTTGTCTCCTGTATGCACCCCCTCCATCTGTGTTTGCCCTCCTCTGAGTGGGTAAGAGCCTCAGGGTCCTTCCCGTGGTGCCCTGGCAGACATGACCTTCTCCTTCCCGGCTCTCGGAGTCCCCTTCCCACCAAAGGGCTTTCCACAACAGAATGCTCCTTCATGGGATGCCTTGAACAGAGTTTTCAAAAGCCTCAGCTTCTTCCTTTGCTACTGGGGTGGCTCCCGTAGTTCCGTTCCCACTGACTCCCCTTGACCGCATCATGAAGAATTGAAAGGCATGGGGCTTAATTCCTGATATCAAACAAGAGAAACAATTTCCTACTGGTCAGAAGTTTCTTAGGCCCTAGCTTTTTTCCTTCTTCACTCCTGATCATCACTATATTCTTGTTTTGAGGTCAACATCCTCTTGGCTGAAACTGCCCCCTCTAAGCTAACTCCCTCTGTCCACCCTTCCCCTGCACTAGGTGTTGACCCCGCCCATGAGCCTCCTCCCTGCCCACCTCCCCCCTCCCCTCCCCCCTCCCCCC